CTAAAATAATTGTTAAGTTTAAACTATTGTGAAAGTGTTCAGAGAAGGCACCAGAAACTCTGAAATGAGAGGCCTAAGAGATGATTCTTTACTGTTAACATCTAAGCAAGAAAACACTTCAGACTAGTAAACTATTAGTGATATTTATCTTCTGAACTGTGTTAGCTATAGGATGAAAGAGCCATGTCATCTCCGTAGTGAATTTCACTTTAGCAAGAGAGTAAACATAATTCTACATACCAGCTGCAATTAAGGCATTAGTAACGTGCCCTGATTGATTACCTGGAGCTGTTGCTGAGAAATGGATGTGTGGTACAGCTTTTATCACCAGAGTTTGCAAAAAAAGAAGTCCCTTGCTTAGATATAGTGTAGTAAGTGACATCATTAGGTAGTCCTTCTATCTAAATGACCTAGAAGTTAGTGTATCAGCAACTTATAATAAACAAGCCGTTTCACCTGATGATTCCTCTCCCCACACAGAAGTACTTTTTCTGTTAATAATATAACTGGTTAATACAAGACCAGATGGTTGCAACATTTACAGAAGGCAAATGACACTTAAACAAACAGAAAACCAGCATTAGGATAGTCAGGGGTTTCAACTGAATCCTAAACATAGAGTCTACATTGAAGGACTATTAACATTAACTATATAAAGTGGCCATTTTCCAGTACTATCTAGTTGGTGAGACTGTTCTGCTTACTGTCAGTTTGATTTAAATATTTCCTAGTGTACTATAACTCAGCTTTCTTCCTGCTGCACAAGTGCATTTCCATTACTAGCTAGAAGTACAGCAATCCTTTAAGACTCTAAATAAAATGGGTCTACACTATTTAACCAGGACCTGCTTAAGTTAAGGTTTTACCAAACTTACAAACAACGCAACTTCTCTTGTATGCCACACAGCATATTCTAGGCATCACTGATGATGTGGTATTATTGCTACTTGAGCCACCTACATAATAGAATAAATGGTTTTGCCACCAACTGAAAACACACATCGTACTGATACTTGTACTGTGTAGTTCAACTGACATAAATATGGACGGTTCTCCTAAAGGAATTCATAGGTAAAATAAGAAAGCTATTTTATAAAACACAATACTAGTGTACTCTATGGAACAGTACTCTAAAGGGGCAAAAGTCACAAGCAGTTTGGGGTATGTTTTCAGAGTATTCCAAACATGTATGAATTTCTGTTAGAAATCGCCTGATCAATAGGATACACTTGCTAAAGTGGTTCTGTAATAGCTGTGCAATTCTTGAGACATAAAAAACTGAGCCTAGAAAAGCTCAAAAAATAGTGGCTTCTGGGGCTGGAAAGATGGTTCAGCACCCACAGCAAGCAGTACACAAGCACCTGTAACTGTAGCTCCAGAGGACCCAACTCCCTCTTCTAGCCTCCTCAGAGACCATTACACACACAGCACACAATCACAGACAGATAAATAAATAAAAATCAAATAAATTCTAAACACAAAACACCTAGCTTCCTGAACAAATAATATTATTCCTGACCAGGAACAATAGCAAAGATGAATACATTCAAGAAGAAAACTTTGATGAGATAGGAGTTGAAATAGATGAGTAGAGCCTGTTCTGAGAAATGTAATGACCTGGTGGGGTGTGTGTGTGTGTGTGTGTGTGTGTGTGTGTGTGTGTGTGTATAAACAAGCTCCTGGCGTTTAAAACACAACTCCTGTTTGAGAGAGGTGGTCTATTTAACCTCCCCATTACATAGTTTTCTTATCAGACAAATACTTGTACTCCCTACTTAATTGTGTCACAGTTATAGTGACTAAATGAGTTTGCCATTCTACAAAGTTTATTTCAGTTATGTACCCTGCACTTACAGACACAAAGTCAATGGAACACTCCTGGGAAAACAATGGCAGTGGCCTCTAACTTGCTCACTCATTGGACATATAAAATTGGATGAACATTTTCCTTAAATAGAATATTCAAAAAGTTCACATTTTGTAATTCTCTGGTTGTCTTCTCTGATTACTCAGAGCAAGGATTTTGATGTAAACCTTTTAGCCCCAATATTCCTAGTCTACTGACTTTAACAAAGAAACCAGCATACATAAATTGAGGTATTTATGTACATAATAAAGATATCTTTCTTATTCTGACTCTTGACAAAACTATTTCTGATCTTAAGTATATTCTGTTTTGCTAAAACAACTTAGATATCACTAGAATACCTAATGGTATGAGAATAGTCATGTGAGGATAAAGGCATATGACATATTAACAATTCTGAAGAATAAAAGGATACAATGTTGATAAAGAAAGCCACAGTAGAAAAATGAATTACCTGACACCAGGCTATCATCACTATCAGCTAACAATTACTCTGTGTCTAGATCTATAGCAATATATGTCAAAAATCATTTACATGGCTGACCTAGACTCCATTTTCAATGGTACATAATAGACTAATAAACTATTGGGCAAACTCTCTTAATAGAGTAATCAAGCTATCAAGGTTCAATATGAAGGAACAATGATGAAGACGAACTTCAATTATTAGCTTATTTTAGGGAAGAATAGAGGTGAAGTTGGTTAACAGACATTTGTATAATTTGACAGCAACATACAAAATTTAAAGTAGAAAATTAAGCTCTAGTTATCAAAGAGAGTATATGCTGAGTAAAGAAAGGGCCACCATGTTTTCCCATAAGCTGTATGATAATAGCCGTGTGACTGGGGGAAGAACCAACACAGTACATATCTGCTTGTTATTCTTCATTCCTACTCCCTCTGCACTCTTCTGTGTATGTAAAGATAAGTTGATATGCAATTTTTATTCTAAATGTTTAAAGGATTAAAAAGACTAAGCCTTCAGCTGGTTTTTCTACAGTTAACTAATAAAAGGAAGAGCCTTCTAAAGTAAGAATCTATACTGTGTATAGATGGTTCATACCTGTAATCCTAGTTTCCTGGAAGGCTGAGTCAGCAAGATTGCAAACCTGAAGGCATCCTGGGCAGCCCAGTTGCCCAGAAGTGCGGACATCATACTGCTTTTAGGCATCTGTCCTCTCATCCTGCTCTTGCCTAGGAGAGTTCTTCCACCATTCTTGGTTTTCCATTCTTGGCCCTCCATTCTGACTATTGTAAGGCAAGGTCCTGCTATGTAATTTAGGGTCACCTTGAACTCACTCTGGGGATCCTCCTGTTCAGCATCTCCAGTGCTGGGGTCACCTACATGTGCCACCACACCCAGTGATGACATTTTTGCACTAGTCAACTGTATCCTAGAATCCTCTCAACCCATAATTTGATGTTTTCTCTTCATTATAATTAAGTTGCTTTGTTGTTATTGTTTGATAAAAATGTCACAAAAGTCATGTGCTCTTCTTTGCATTTTAATCTACATTATATTGGTAAGTCTTAGTACAGATGAAAGTTGACCTTGACCACTGGTGAGGGTGGTGTCTAACTGTTTTCCCTCCATATGAAATCATTACTATTTCTTATGTAATGAATATCTCCTGACAGACATTTTAAAATTATGTAAATATATTGTTTCTCTTCAAATTGAGGTGATTCTATAGGATTTTATAAAGAACTAAAATATGTAAAATATTATCATGAACAAGTGTTACTGTTTTTAATATATTTAAACTCGGTAAAATATTTTCTTAAATTCAAATACAAAGAAAGATCTTTTCCCCAAGCACCATTCCTGACTGGTCAAGTGAGACGTGCCCACTGGCATATGCATACACATATTATGGAGGCAGCTAACTACCTCTACAGGCAAGTCTACTAGGCATTGTCTTGATTGACTGATGTGGAAGGGTCCAGGCAGTTGTGGGTGGTGCTAGCCCAGGGCAAGTAGTCCTACGTTATATATAAAAGCAGGGTGAGCAAGCCATGAAGAACAAGTCAGGAAGCAGTGTTCTTTCATGCACTGTTTCAGTTCCTGCCTCAAAATTCCTGTGCTGACTTCTCTCAGTGATGGAGTATGCCCTGGGAGTTGTAAGCGGAAATAAAGCCTTTCTTCCCGAGTTGCTTTTGATCATGCTGTCTTATCACATCACTGTCAGCTCTGACCAGAGATGCTTCTTTTCTCAGCTCGTCCTGGCACTGAGGATAAGTGAACGTTAAAAGTTCAACCATAAGTGAGACATCTGTATCATCCCCTCTTGCACTCATAGGAGGCAGCAAGAATGTTAGAACAGAGAATGGGGCGGAGTGCTAAGGAACACCATTTTCTGGACATCAAGTGACTCTCACTCTCGAACTCACAAAAGCTCTAACTACCTGATGAGACCTGCTCAAAACTGGGTCCATCAATAGATGTCCTGTCATAAAGTAGGTAGGATTTCAAAGACCTGATATTACCTCAAGAGCTATTGCAATTAATGGTTTGTGGAGTGATAGTGGGAGGAGAGATTTTCTCTAGTGGTACCTACTGGTGGAATAAATAACTTTGTACTCACTTGTGCTCCTATTAGCAACCCCAGTGAAATTCACTGGATCAATACTACCAACAACAAAATCAAAACAACAACCAAAACTGGACAGGAAAGTAAAAGGGGAATTTGCTAACAAGAAAAGGTAGATTAGCTGGAATGGCAGGAGGAATGGGAGATGAATATCATCAAAGTACTAATGTACTAATATACATATATGAGGAGGTCACAGTGAAGCCCACTATCAAATATACAACTAATATATGCTAATACAAATATTTTTAAGTTATTAGTTTTAATAAGCATATATGTATATGTCTGTGTGCATGTGCATGTGAATGCCTGTGCCTAAAGCGTACAAAAATGTTGAATCTTCTGGATTATGTGTCACCTGATTTGGGTGCTGGGGCTCAAATTTGGGTCCTCTGGAAGAATAGTATGTGTCCTTAACTGCTAAGCCACCTCCACCTCAATACAAACATTTTGAAAGACCATTTTGTTTTCTCAGTGTATTCAGTTAATATTAATCGACTATGATAGCAAAAAGAAAATGATATGATTGAAACATTACTTACATAACTACGGCTCTTAAAGATATCAGATGGACTAGTGGTAAGGATTTTGTCTCCTTCCAAACCAATTACTCTTTTACAGATATTTGATTTTGGATCACTAGGACTTTTTGCAATTACAATGTCACCTCTAAAGAGAGAAAAAAGGAAAAGTATCAGTATTATTGCCAAGCATAACCACATACATAGGACTGCTTTAATAATTTTGTAAAATGACCTAAATACATACCCTTTATCCTTTCATATACTGACCCGCATATATTTAGCATGTTTGTAAACTATTATAACTGATATTTAGAGTCAACACAAGCAAAGACATAAAAATTCCATATAAAATTACTGATATTCTCTAATAATCTCATGAGAATTATTTCCACTATGTATTATTTCTCTATCCAATTCTAGAGCACTAAAATTGAAGAAATATTGTCTACTTCCCAAAAATTCAAAAACTAAAGAATAACAATATATGTTATATAATTCATTTAAGTCATATTTTACAGGACAGACTTACATCTGAGGGAAAAATGAGATACAACCAAATAAAACACTAATAGCTAAGCAAATGTACTATACAATAGGTATGATGTCAAGTACATAATATGAATCATTACATATGGAAGAGAAAACATTCTATATGGTAAGAGAAAAAAAGAGGTTTTATTCCAGGCACGATGATGCATGGCTGTAATCCCAAAATCCAAGAAGGGAAGAATTATAATTTGGAGGATAGTGTAAACTATAAAGCAAATTCAATGGCAATCAAAGCACACAGTGAAACTGTTTCAAAACATCCACACCTGCATAACTATCATAGCCATGGATGTGAGGTAGGAATGATATCCCAACCAAATGGAATGTAGTGTTTTTCCTGCATTAAACAAGGAATATAGAAATTATGCTAACATTTTTCAACATCTAACATATTTAGTAACTGTAATTCCAGATATAAATTTATATACTTTGATGTTATTTATAAAAGATATAATATAAAAATCCATAAAAATAAAAGGAAGAAAAGACTCTGTCCTAATAAGTCAAAATTGAAAAAAGAATAAAGAACCCTGACTGCTGTCACATTGTAAGTATTAAACAACTTCTAAGCATTTTGGTAGCCCCTACCCCAAATAAAGAGTGTTGTGGATATTGTTCAATGATAGAGTGGCTTATCTGGCATACAGGAAGTCCCAGATTTGGTCCCCAGCAACAAGAAAAGGACAGATGGTGAGACTAATTCGTTATCATTAATACAATTATGTTTAAGAAAAGGTAATACAAAATTTTCCCCAACAGCCAAATCAAGGAGCAATTCATAAGACACATTTTTATGTAAAAGAATAAAGGACACCATTTTATCAAAATTTTACAGGCACCAAAAAAATAGTATTGTCAACAACCACATCGTGAAGCTTCTACTTCTAAAGCTGAATGGTATCAAGCCATTTACTTCTATAACTGGGCCAGAAAAGCATGGGGTTTGTTTGTTTGTTGTTGTTTTGTTTTGTTTTTTGAAATGTCAGTGGAATTGTTCACATAAAAAACCATCAAGTGTGTCTTTGAAAGAAGAAATCATCTTCATGCCTTGCCTATGCAGCTCATGTTATTTGACAACATGACACTTAAAGTCTGAACCTAACTAGCAACACTGACGTCATAATTTAGTTAGGTTGGTTTTATGGAGCTCAATGTTAATTGAAACTATTAATATATGTCTACTAGTCTAGCTAGATAATATATGTAGATAAATCAAAATATATACTCCTGGACTTTTGCCTTCTTTACAGGGAGTTTTAAAAACCCATTTAATAACAGAACCAGTACTTAAAATTTCCTTTCCCATTATATTTATTGCTGGGTGTGGTGTTTTGTGACTCTTAGCAGCTGGGAGGCTCAGGCAGAATCACTATGAGTGTGGAGCCAGCCTGGACTAGATAGTAAGCTTCATGCTAGCATGGGCTACTCTATCTCAAAATTCCAAAAACAAATTATTAAATTAAAAATATGGTCATAAACATCCTTTCTGCCTACTAGGTGGTGAACTAGCCGCCAAGTCAAATGTCAATGTTTCACTCACAGCATCACTGCTGTAATGTATAACGTGTTTATAAAGTAGATGCCCATTAGCTATTTTTTGTACGAATTAGTAACAGGAGACTGCCTCAAGTATGAAGAATCCCTGAAGCTAATGGACAAGAGACCTGTATACTTTAGATACCACAAGTAGAGACATTTATTCTTGCACAAAATAGAAGTCTGGCCTTCCCTTAGTACAGGAAAAAGATCTGAACAACTTCTCTGGAACTCTACTAGACTATATAGCTTGACTAGGAGAAGCAATAAGAACAGGAAGCAGTAAAAATCAGAAATTCATCTCATTGAAATCTTAGTCCTAAGGTGCAGCAAACCAAATGAAGGGAGTAATATTTTCAAAGCAGTATCAGCTGCCTGACTTGGTTCTGTTATTTTGTTTCATATGAATGCCAGATTCAAGATACTCTACATACTAATGAGACTCCTGAATGAACGGAGCACAAAATAAAATCTTCAAAGAATCATAGTTTCCTGAATGTACTTACTTCTACTATTCATCTGACCGCAACGAGTATTTTAAATAAAGCAAGCTCTATGCTCCAGTGTAGGGGAATTTGAGGGTGGAGAAAAAAATCTCATAGAAGTAGGGGGAGAGGGGATGGGATAGGGGGTTTCCAGAAGAGAAACCAGGAAAGGGGATAGCATTTGAAATGTAAATAAAGAAAATATCCAATAAAAGAAAAGATAGATAGGTAGGTAGATAGATGGAGAGAGAAAGAGAGAGGGGGGAGAGAGAGAGAGAGAGAGAGAAAACAAGACCATTTATTCAAAAACACATTTATCAGCTGGTCCAGTGCACTGTTAAGAACATTTAACGGTTACAATGTCACTGGCATGCAGTAGCAAACTATTAGCTAGTCCAGTGTACTGTTAAGAACATTTAAGGGTTACAATGTCATTGGCACGCAGTAGCAACTTGCCTTCATGCTACAGTGAGGGTAAGTCACTAGGCTATTTTGGCAAGTCAAAAAACAAATGGAGATAACTACACCTATTGTGTAGTTTTAATTTACAATCCCCAAATCTACAAGTATTTTTCTTGAGGTTATTACAGAAAAAGATTTGAACAACTTCCATGGGACTCTATTAGACTTATATTAGACTCTATATAGCTTGACTAGGAAAATTTTGTGTACAGCATCAAGGGTCAGTGAGAGTCCAAAGGAAAGAATAGTTTCATAGTATTTTCAATTTTCAATACTGGGAAATGGGCTACGACAAAGGTAGACAATGAAAGAGTGCCTAACCCTCCTTTCTATACTAAATACCAGTAGTGGGAATCATTTGTAGGTCACGGAGATAAAAGCTGGCTTACTCTTTTTCTAACTCTATAAAAACTTTTAGAGAGGTACAGTTTAGAAAATACACAAAGTTAGAATTTGACATCCATTCAAAAGGAGCATCCCTTGAGATAAATAGTAGCACAATGTTTTGAGACACTTACAATAGAGTTTTGGGAAATTTGGTAACAATGTATTTACTAATTAATACTCAATAATTTATCAATCTGGAAAACTACATTGGACCAAATTCTTCAGACCAAATTCCTCATTCCCAGACATATACAAAGCCATAATTTACAAGTCACTGAATAGCTCTTGCTTTGGAATGAAAACATTTTAGGAACCTACAAAGAGAATAAGGCTTTCACGTATATTTGAATAAGGACTATTGTGCTGGATGGCAAGTGACCACAGACACTGTACATATTGACTATTAAAATGTTCTCAAATAAACAGAAAATATTCAAGATTGCTGTCTACTTAATACTTATAAAAGGATTTTTAACGCAAAGTTAGAAATTACAGAAAAAATACAGTTTATATACCTTTCACTATAATTATATCCATGACAGAAATTTACCTTTGGATGCCGTAAAAGTGTCGGCTAAGATTTTCTGCAAAGACAATATCTGAATTTTGAATTGTGGGTTCCATTGATGGTCCAGAACACTGAAAAGAAAGAATCTTCTGAGCTCAAATCTCTTTTAAATTTTACAGGCTAAGAGAAGAAAATTGGATAAATGTTCTTCTCAAAACAGACCATATTTTAATTGTTTAACGTTATAAGAGATACACAAAATAACATTATCTTTGCCAACCCTACAGAACTAAACTCCATGAGGAGCACTGGGACCTTGTCTCAGTTTCCCAGCTATGTAAATCTCCACTGTCAAGAAGAATACTCAGCATAATGTTAATGCTTGTTAAATATTTGTTGACTGAATGATGGACTTCCTTGGTTTTCTGAGACATCTCTTAGTGCCCATTCTGGAAATTTTTAAAGCAACTTTACATTATTCATTCTCTGAGAACTGATATCCTTCTACCTCTTCCAGGCAAATGTTTACTTAGTATGATGGGGCTGCATCTTATATTCTCTACTGAAAAACATCAACACAATGAGATGTACTCTAAAGACATTAGCATCTGTATGTCTGAAAAGAACAGTCTTTTATATGCCTAACATTGGAGTAACAATTGCCACTTAAAATATAAACAACAGTTTCTATCTCTTCTATCATTTAACTCTTTTACTCAAAAAAAGACAAAATAAAAACATTTAAATAAAATAATAAATAACAATGAAGTTTAGGCTTGCTTCTTCTAAAAGTACTAATGTCATTGTCAAGACTTAAGGGGAAGAGTATTAGTTAAATCCATGTATATCCTTTACTTCAGCTCAAATAAGGTTTATTATAACTATCAATCTTTTAAGGTAAAGTCAATATAAAAACAACAACAGCCCCCAAAAAACTATTGGCTGTCTGGTCAGCCAAATATTGTTTCACTTACATAACAAATATTTGAACATTTTGAGTTTTCAGATTTGTGATGAGATAACTGAAAACAAACATTGGTTGGAGGAAAGGCAACCAATGTTTACTGCTGATCTTATCAGAGTAATCATTTGCTTTAGTGACAAACTTGGCAGTTATGAGTAGTTTTAAACATCAGACGAATTTGTGTTGGAATTCTATGTCTTATACCTACTAACTATAAGACCTAGAATAAGTTAGCTTTCTGAGCCTGGGAGTTTCCTCTTGAGTAGAATAAATTCCTTACACAGGGACAACAGACAATGTAAGATAAGAAGTTAACAGCACTGACTTTCCTAGAAAGCACATAGCACTCAAATGATTACTATTTATATTCAAGTTATCAAGACCACTGTTTGTACCCTGCTAAACACAGTACGTAATAAGAAGGATTCAATGGTTCTTACATTTTATTCTGGCGCAGGTGCAAAAGAGTATTCTTTTGCTTGTTTGTTTGGTTTTATTATTTCTTATCATTATTTTGTGGGGGTGTGAGGGAGGGGGGTATACTTGCCACAGACTACCCACAGAGGTCAAAGGACAACTTGTGAGAATCAGTTCTTTCTCCACCATGTGGATGTGCTGGCATCAGACTTGGTGGCAAGCACATTACCAGCTGGGCTCTCACTGGCCTTGTTAGGTTTTGAGACAAGGTTTGTTTTGATTTGTGGCTGAGGAGGGATGGGTGGGAGATAATTTCGACAGAGTCTTATTATGCATGCCAAGGTGGACTTGAGCTTAGTCTGGAGCCTGGCCCTACCTTGAACTCACAATCTACTGCCTCAATGTCTGGACTACAGGTGTGTGTCACTCAAATCCAAACATACCTTTTATCTCAATATTTAGAAAGATTTCATGTTTTAATTTTCATGAAATGACTTCAAACAATTAAAAAAAAAACAATGTCTCCTTCCATTAAACAGGTTTTATTTAAAAATGAAATTCCTAAATGTAGAAACTTACCATTACAACACCACCAACATATTCAAAAGCACAATGAGCTATACAGCCATACTGAATGGTGTAGCCAGCAAGTCGAAAGGCCTTTCCCAGAACACCACGAAGCATACTTCGATGTTGACTCTGCCACCACCAGCCTGATGGTGAATTTCAAAAAGTTTTTGATTAGCATTTCTTAAAACAATTCAGAAAGAGATCTACTGTAAAATGTCTCATTAGACATAGAATGAACAAGCTGTAATCAGTACAGTTGACACAAATCAGTTTACTTCATCTGTTACTGATCATGTAAGTGACTGAATTCATGACTTAAGATAATCAGCATCTCATAAAACCACCCCATAAGCTCATTACTAAGGAAAAGGAAAAAGGTCCTGGTAAGGATGACCACACCAAATCATTTTACTCAGTACTTGAAATCTTTAAACAACATAACCTCCAAACCTCAGAAACCTCCAAAATCATACTGAGAGCCATTACTAAACTTGAATGAATCTGCCCTCCCCTTCCCACTCTGACCTGGGGGGGAGGGGAAGAGAGAGAGGGAGAGCGAGAGGGAAGGGGGAGAGAGGGGGGAGAGAGAGGGAGGGAGGGAAGGGAGGAGGGAGGGAGGGAGAGAGGGAGAGAGAGAGAGAGAGAGAGAGAGAGAGAGAGAGAGAGAGAGAGAACCATTATCTTTCTATTACATGCCTCTCTCCTCATTTAATGACTGAGCTTAAGTCTATGTTTAAAAATCTTAATAAAAGCCAGGTAGTCATGGTGCACACCCTCGGAGTCAGACGATCTCTATGAGTTAGTTCCAGGACAGCAAGGGCAACATAGAGTAAGCCTGTCCAGAATTTAAAAAAAAAAAAAAAAACTTTAATATAATCTAACTTTGTCATATTCATGTATCCTGGAATTCTTTTCTGTAACAGAAATCCCAGCGTCACCTGAAGGGAGGTTTCAGAATTCCTGCTGAAATACATACCACCACAGTGCAGGATCTCCTGCTATTGCTGGCAGCTACTGACTACTAATTGAATGAACTCACAAGTACTACAAAAAGGCACAAATACTATATATTTTAGTGTATGTGTATGTATGTATGTATGTATGTATGTATGTATGTATGTTCACATACATACTAGCATGTAGTGGAATTTCCCCCTAATTGATTAAATAAGAAAGACAACAAGAAGCCAATCACTGGGTGAGAAGAAGGCAGGCCTTCCAAGTCAGAGTGAGGAAGAGGGAAAGCCAGAGGAGGGAACTTCCTTTTGGAGGGCAGGAGCAAGGAAGAATAAGATGTAGGGCCGGGGACTGATAGTTCTGATGGCAGAATCCATCAGGATCTGTGACAGAAGATCTCTAACATAGAATAGTTGGTAAATTTAGAATGATAGATTCCGAGCCCAGCAATTGTGTTATCTGTTGATTCTAAACTAAGATTTTCATTTCACTGCTTCAGGGAAAGGTAACCTTGGTGGAGCGTGGGTTTGCAAGAGTGTGCTCCCAGCTAGCCTTGGAAATTTGGGAATGCTTATCTGTTTGGCAGCAGCCAGCCGTGGGAGTTAGATGACTGGGAATGTGAGTGGGTTCTGAAGCCAAGTAAACCTCGAGAAGTAGGGCAGACGCAGCATAGTGTTAGCCATGGAGATGGTGATAGCATGGTTGGTTTTTTAATATTACAGGCAACACCCACGCACACACTTGCATGTCAGTGTGAACAGATGCATGCTGTGACAGACATGTGTAAGTCAACAATTTTCAAGAGTCAGTTCTCTCCTTCCACCTTGGGTTCAGAGTATCAAACTCACATCATCTGGCTTATGTGGTTAGACAATTCCTTTTACCTGCTGAGCCATCAATACTATAGATTTTTAAAGCTATTCAAATTTTAATATAATTAAATTAAACCATTTCCCAGTATGTATTCCTTCCTTTTGAATGACTCCTATTTCAAAAAACATTTCATCCCCAGAACTCAAGCCCTTGACCAGCACAGTGCCTACCAGCCCCCATGAGGTTCATGATGGTCAGCTATGTCTGTGTGCCTTCCTAAGTCCTGACTCGGAAAAGCAGGTAACTTTTTCTTTCTTGATTCTTTCTTTCTGATGCTGGCCAGAGCCTAAGTGTGTCTTTTCTGGTACTTTTAGACTTCCTTTCTTAAAATCTCCTCTCCTAGTCATGTGGCTGCTTGTCCCCACTGTGGCTGACCTCCATGCCAGCTCAATTGAAATGGTTTGGCTTTTCCCATGGTGCCTCCATTCTCATCATAAAGCAGCTGCTGAGATTATAGGTTACCTTTGGGGTATTTTTTCTTTTAAATTCTAAAAACAAAAAACAAACAAACAAAAAAACTGTCCTCTTTGAATAAACTTTGGCTTTGCTTTACTTTCAAACATTTCCTGGCTTTCTTTTTTTCTTTAATGGGTAGAAAAAATGAACCACTACTGCTGATCTCCTAGATGGTATCACAGCTTCATAAAGAGAGACTTATACTCAAGACCCTGTGCTATGTACTCTTCATTTGACAGGTCATATCTATTCTTTATAATATCCCATATGATAACCTGGGCTTATCTGTCAAACATTTCCTTGAGATGATCAAACTTGAGGAGGAATTGAGGGAACCTGACTTACATACAGTAAGTCAGAAGTAAGGGAGGCCTTGTGTAAACTAGCATTTGAAATGGCAGAGGCATAGAGGACTAGGTCTTTGACTTGTGGAATAAGAAGCTACTGGCTGTAGGAAGTATCAAAATTGAGAGGAATTAAAAGATAGCTAGGCAGTATCATACGTCTATGAACAGAAGCATTGTGTAAGGAGGGGAAAAAGTATATTTTCCTCAGAATACCCATAATCTACTGAGGACCCTCTCCATTTTTGAAGGCAGGAGCCATTATGCTGTTTTTAAGTCTGTTTCATTGAGACTGACCTGCCCCAACCTTGACTTGGTTGAGAATACCCTACCCATCTTGACCAATCATATGGCCACCATATGGTGTTTTGGGGAGATTTTTCTTTATTTCCTTATTGCTCCACTGTCCTCTGTAAGCCTGCTTTGCAACTACTCCTAATTTTGCTCCATAGAAGGGGCCCCAACTCAGGGATGATCTCTTTAAACCCACTTAAGAGGCAGTCTCTGGCAAGATCTTGGGTGCACCCCAATAAAAACCAAGCTTTCTTCAAATTTGTTCAACAAGACATGAGTTTAACAAAGACAACAACAATGAACAACAGGCATGCCAAAGTGGCAGGTAGGAGGCACACAAGGTCTCAACCCTATACAAAAGAATTACAGGCAACTAAGGAATGCTGAGAGTGGGAGAAATAGTCTACCACAGGGAAGAGCACACCAATCAGTTATCCAATATCAAATGGTCAGCTCTGGAAACACATATGT